TTTTATATACATTCATATAAGCATGCATTACATGTAATAATTTTTATCTTAAGCATAAAAAAAAAATAAGCATGCAACCAATCAATTTAAAACTTCGGTTAATTTAATATAGAAAATATTCTTTAGTATGTTGAAGGTAAATACTAAATTCTTTATCGAAACCTTTAGAATTTTCTTACGTCTTTCTTCCCTCTATTTCTTCCCATTCTTTCTCTAGATCATTCTTTCTCTCTAAAACTCTTTAAGAGTTCTTCCCATAGCTAAGAATGGCCTACCGAGAATAATTAGAATTTTTCAGTCTTCTTCCATGTCAAGAACAATAAAATATGCTGGCAAGATAAACTTATCCACTTTCACCAAGACATCCTCAATAATCCCCCTTGGATATTTAATACATTGACCAACCAACTGTAAAGAGACTGTTGTTGGCTTTGCTTCTCTAAGACCCAACTTCTTGTACATTGAAAGAGGCATCAAATTAATACTTTCTCCAAGATCACAAAGAGTTTTTTCAAAATGAGAGTTCCTAATAGTGCAAGGAATGTTGAAGCTTCTAGGATCGTTAAGCTTTTGGGGTAATTTATTTTTTAAAATGGCACTACATTCCTCAGTAAGTGTAATTGGCTCATATTCCCCTAGCTTTCTCTTGTTCGAGAGGATTTCTTTTATAAACTTCACATAGCTAGGCATTTGCTCCAAAGCATTTGTAAATGGAATGTTGATATGTAGTTTCCAAAAATCTATTTAGGAACTTAGAGAACTACTTATCCACTTTCTGCTTATGGGACCTCTGAGGATATGGAATAGGAGGAACATATGGTGAAGAATTTTCCGGGAAGAGCTTTGACTTGTAACCTTTCCTCCTAGACTTGTTTTTGAATCATCTAAAAGTGTCTTTGTTTGTGGTTCAACTATTGCTTCACTCAACTCTGTTAACTCCTCTACGAAGAGTAATAGTTTTCACTTGATCTTTTGGATTCTTCTCAATGTTACTCGGCAGAGAACTTTGTGGCCTTTGAGTGAGAATTTCAAAAAGTTAACCCAATTGAAGTCCAAATTTCGAATAGATGCTATTTGGCTTTGAATAATAGTTTTTTGCCTCTAAAGTGTAGAATCTATTCTTGCTATAAACTGATTAATATTGATTGTGAGTTCGGCAAGAGCATTTCTAAAGACACTTTTGGCTGTTGAGGCTGGAATTGATAGCGCTCATACCAAATGGGGTATGGATACGACTGATTAAGGTGGTGCCCATTATTGGACGAGGTATGGGGACGACCGATGATTTGTACGAAAATGTTGAGAATACAAATTTATAAGGGATCCCTATGGGCCCCCCATGGTACTGGTAAAAGGGATGAGATTGTGTGATGGAAATGTAAAGGGTAAGCAAACTTTAGTTTGGAAGTAAAATAATAAAGGGACACTGAGATCTATATTTAATTGAGATGTGTATTAACTATATTTTATTGTGTTTTGATAATATCTTGATTTTGTGTATATGAGTGTTTATTGGGAAAAAGAAAAAAGTAAAAATTGGTTTCAATAAAAGAGAAGGATGCACCAGTATCCAGTTTTCATTAAAAGTGAATACTCCATTGATTATTTTTATGGTCTTCTACAACACTTTGATTAACACTTTGATTGGTATTATGGTTGTAGGGCTTTTGATATTCTTATTGAGCAAGTGTAGCTCACCATATTCTTTATTAATCATTTCGGATCAAGACATCGAAGAACCAGTTCCTAAACAGTGAAAGATTAGCTAGGATATTATTGCCTTTTATTTTTGCCTAGACAATATTTAAGGTTAATTGCTTGCTTTATGGTGATATTTTATTTTAGAGCCCTATATGCCTCATATACATTAGATCTTTTAAACCAACTGTGCAAAGAATGTAATATTTAAACTCTAAAAGTTTACTATGCAAGGTATCTTCCAAAGTTATTTCATTATTGTACGATAAACGGGTGCTCAGAACCCTAAATGGGAGTTTGAGCCTTTATAATAAAACTCGAAGATTTTTTAAATATAAGCAAAAAAGGAAAGATATGATGTTTAGAGAATACATGGGCACATTTGAAAGAGAAAAAAATAAAAAACGGAATATTCAAGATATGATGTCCTCTATATAAGCAAGAGTTTTCATT